GGAAAGACTGGGTTTGCATTAGGCAGACTTACTGCTATATTTTTGCTTGTGGACTTACCTTCAGTCTTACATGTTAAAAGATAAATGCCCAAACCACATCTGTGACTCGATACAATGAGACACTCATCTTGGACTGGAGAGGAGTGGGTGTGACAGGGATCATGTAGGAAAATGCCAATACATGGCACTTCTTGTAGGACTTCAGGCTGTTGAGTGATGTCTGGATCAAGACAGGTGTCACCCCAACCTACTTGACAGCTGTGCTCTTTAGAGGAGTATTAGGATTTCTTCAGGGTGAAGAGCATGCAGCAAGTTGAAAACAGTGAATGAAAATAGCAGACAGACAAATGCTTTGCTCATTCAAGTGGCCAGGTCACAAAGTCATCTCATGCAGAAGCCAAGAAGGAATAGAGTACACCCAGCCCTCCACATTTTCACATCTTAGGCCACGCTGCACAATGTTAACATCATAAACAAATCTTCACTTTATGTACAAATGAAAAGTATTCAATGAAATATCACTCAGAATCATTTTAAAACTTGTGTGTGTATATACACAAATAAACACACACAGTGAATATATATATCTGTAGTAAATACATATGAACTTCTACACAATTAGAACCACTCAGTATATACATTATATACTCCTGTCAGTCACCAGGACAATACATTTTGTTGCACTGACAGAATCTGTTGCTGTTACCTTTTAAATTACTGAAAAATTAAATTAAATTTTTTAAATTTATGTAGAACTGCTCAGTGGAAGGCCAATCTTTGGAAACCACAGATCTACAGAAAACCACCAACTCCACTAGCAATCCTTCAATATTTGAATATAACAGTCCACCCTGTTTCCTTCAAATATCAACTCTGTTTTCATATAAATAAATTGTTTCTAACAATACGCTACAACCCTGTTAAGCCAGGGAGGATTTTTCTTCTGGTACATATAAATATTTCACCTTATCTCAACACCATGCAATGCAAACAGTAAAATCATGCTTGCAAGTGACTGTATTCTGATTTGGCCCCAGAATTGGTTTTAGTTCAAAAAGCCAAACAAAAAAAAACAAACAAAACAACAAAAAGAAAATCCAAAAGATGACACCAAGCTATCTGCATGAGAATAGGGAGGCTCTACAGAGAGACTTGGATAGATTAGATTGTTGGGCTAATGTTAATGGCTGGGCTTCAAGAAGCCCCGCACTTGGGCCACAACAACCCCAGGCAAATGCTACAGGCCATGGGAAGTGTGGCTGGAAAGTGTCTGGCAGAAAAGGACCTAGGGGTTCTAATTGACAGGTGGCTGAATATGAGCCAGCAGTGTGCCCAGGTGGCCAAGAAAGCCAATGGCATCCTGGCTTGTATTAGAAATAGTGTGACCAGCAGAAGCAGAGAGGTGATTGTCCCCCTGTCCTCAGCACTGGTGAGGCCACACCTGGAGTCTTGCATCCAGTTTTGGGCACCTCGATTCAAGAGAGATATCGAGGTGCTGAAGCGAGTACAGAGGAGGGCAACGAAGCTGGTGAAGGGCCTAGAGAATAAATCTTATGAAGCCAGGAATGTTTAGTTTGAGGAAGAGGAGGCTGAGAGGAGGCCTCATCAGTCTCTACAACTACCTGAAAGGTCATTGTAGAGAGATTGGTGCTGGCCTTTTTTCACAGTTAATTAGTGCCAGAACAAGAGGGAATGTACACCCAGCCCTCCACATTTTCACATCTTAGGCCACGCTGCACAATGTTAACATCATAAACAAATCTTCACTTTATGTACAAATGAAAAGTATTCAATGAAATATCACTCAGAATCATTTTAAAACTTGTGTGTGTATATACACAAATAAACACACACAGTGAATATATATATCTGTAGTAAATACATATGAACTTCTACACAATTAGAACCACTCAGTATATACATTATATACTCCTGTCAGTCACCAGGACAATACATTTTGTTGCACTGACAGAATCTGTTGCTGTTACCTTTTAAATTACTGAAAAATTAAATTAAATTTTTTAAATTTATGTAGAACTGCTCAGTGGAAGGCCAATCTTTGGAAACCACAGATCTACAGAAAACCACCAACTCCACTAGCAATCCTTCAATATTTGAATATAACAGTCCACCCTGTTTCCTTCAAATATCAACTCTGTTTTCATATAAATAAATTGTTTCTAACAATACGCTACAACCCTGTTAAGCCAGGGAGGATTTTTCTTCTGGTACATATAAATATTTCACCTTATCTCAACACCATGCAATGCAAACAGTAAAATCATGCTTGCAAGTGACTGTATTCTGATTTGGCCCCAGAATTGGTTTTAGTTCAAAAAGCCAAACAAAAAAAAACAAACAAAACAACAAAAAGAAAATCCAAAAGATGACACCAAGCTATCTGCATGAGAATAGGGAGGCTCTACAGAGAGACTTGGATAGATTAGATTGTTGGGCTAATGTTAATGGCTGGGCTTCAAGAAGCCCCGCACTTGGGCCACAACAACCCCAGGCAAATGCTACAGGCCATGGGAAGTGTGGCTGGAAAGTGTCTGGCAGAAAAGGACCTAGGGGTTCTAATTGACAGGTGGCTGAATATGAGCCAGCAGTGTGCCCAGGTGGCCAAGAAAGCCAATGGCATCCTGGCTTGTATTAGAAATAGTGTGACCAGCAGAAGCAGAGAGGTGATTGTCCCCCTGTCCTCAGCACTGGTGAGGCCACACCTGGAGTCTTGCATCCAGTTTTGGGCACCTCGATTCAAGAGAGATATCGAGGTGCTGAAGCGAGTACAGAGGAGGGCAACGAAGCTGGTGAAGGGCCTAGAGAATAAATCTTATGAAGCCAGGAATGTTTAGTTTGAGGAAGAGGAGGCTGAGAGGAGGCCTCATCAGTCTCTACAACTACCTGAAAGGTCATTGTAGAGAGATTGGTGCTGGCCTTTTTTCACAGTTAATTAGTGCCAGAACAAGAGGGAATGGCTTCATGCTGCAACAGGGTAGGTTTAGACTGGACTTTAGGAAAAAAAATTTCACAGAAGGAGTGGTTAGACACTGGAATAGGCTGCCCAGGGAGGTGGTTGAGTCACCATCCATAGATGTGTTTAAGGGTCATTTGGATATGGTGTTGGTGGATATAGTTTAATGGGGAGAACTCTGTAGAGTAGGGATGATGGTTGGTCTTGGTGATCCCACAGGTCTTCTCCAACCTGAATAGTTCTATGATTCTATGATTCTCTCACATAAACATTAAAAATCAGCACACAGAGCTCTATGATTTTCTAGTGATTTACATTTCTAAAGGAAATATCTTTTAGTAATAATTTACTCTCTCTGCAGCTATTAAGTCCAAATATTGCAAATCTAAGAAATGAGGACCAATAACTAAACAAAGAGCAAGAATTGCTTACTTGTCCTAACTGACACACAGACAACTCATAAAAACGCTTACACATTTTTTTAAAATTTGTTTGAATCACTTGTGTGATGTCCTTGTTAAATATCAAAGTAGATTAGCTTGAACAAGTCTTCTATTGGAAAAAGCACTACCTTAAAAAAGCCTTATCTAAAAAGTATTTACAGGGATGAAATTCTGCATCTCTTGATGACATGGCATTATTCACAAAACCTTGCATAGTGTTACATTTTGAAACACTGTCACTGATCAGCTGTTAAGAGAAAACAACGTTTGTTTGTGTAACAGACACTCAAGAGAAAAAAAAACCCAACACAGAACATGGCCATTTTGACTTTCAAAAGGTGGAGAAAACAGTAAAGTTCAGTCAGACCTGTACATTTTACTGGCAAAAAGTGCTTAATTCACTTGAGGTTGTCTAAACATTCCTAGCATTAATGCTGCCTTCAGTACAGCAAGCAAAGTTTGCACTCCCATATTTTGACCCAATCTATGACAGGATATTTCCAAAACAGCCCCTTTGACCTTAAACAGGTATTTTAAAATTTGTAATAAAACAATCTTTAAACAGTACCAAAAACTAGACAAATCAAGTCTCAATCAGTATAAGAGGACCTCTTCAAAAAGGAAGGTTAATCCTCCTTTGGAGTGGTTATGACAATGCACAGAAATGAGACCAGAAATATAAACAAGAAGTTACAGGTCAACTGATTTACTGGAGTTGTGCAGTAATTTCCACCATATGGTAATTAGAGGATTATAGTACTGACTCAAAAGAAAGACTTCCAAAAAAATAAAATGCTGGGAGAAGACTGGAAAAAGTATCTGTTTTCCCATGTTGAGGATCTGATGTACTAGAACAGGCAGCCCTGCTTTCATCAGATGCCAGCTGCAGTGGTGGATGTGCTCAGAACCAGAAGCCAGATGTTTAAACATCTCACCAATGAGATCCTGCCTAGATCCATCACAACTCACTATGTCTAACTAAGGTCAAAATAAATAGGCATTTGGGGCAATTTCAGCAGAAGTTGTGCGCACAAAGGCCAGCTTATGAAATTCAGCCTCACTTCTCTAACACTCACAACCAGGTGTAATGCACTGCTCTGTTCTGTGCATGCTGACTGTGATGCTTTTCTGATTACAAGTACAAATTAATTGCACCTCATGTTGGCATAACACTTCAGAAGTGTGAAGTATTAGCAATTTTAGCATACAGTTAAACTTGGCAGCAATTCCAAGGCTAAAACAACTCCTGAGCTTCAGGAAGCACAGATCAGAGCCTTCACCTCTGCAGTGTCACATGCTACTTACAGGCTTCTGTACTCAAAACAGCCACTGTGCACATCAAGTAACATAAAAGTAATGCTCTTGACATCAGCAATGAGCCAGGTGTTTCTCTGAAGTCTGAGACTCCTGTGAAAAATGTCAGTTCAACATGTAACGTAGATTTTTTAGTACACATTTTGTCACAGACTTAGTGTTTTCCTTACAAATATATGGCACTAAGTGTAAAACTTTGTAACTTATTCCAAACAGTGCACCATACTTCACAGCAAAGCTTTAAAAATAAGTAGCTAACTCCACTTCTTCTAAATATACAGCTGGTGGTAGGCCAGGATGTCCATGAATGGTTGCACAAGGTTGTCTGTTGAGAAGTAGAAGACCAAGCCAAAGGTGATGGAGATGGGAAGGGCAGGCAGTGCTTTCTTAAAAACAGCCAGTAATAAAAGAGTTAAGCATAATCCCTGCCAGAGATAAGAGAATAAAAATCACAAGAGGATATAGTAAGAAGTCCAGAAATCTGTCTGTCATCAACAAACTAGCATACAAATAATAAGCTCCATATGCTGTAGAGCAACTGAAGCCTGACTGAGCTACCAGGGGCATAAGCTACCTTTGCCCACACCTTCATCTTTCACACAAGTTGGCCAGGTATTTTCTTCAGCAATCCTGAGCATAGACCTTTGCTGAGAAAGTGCTTTAAAAAGCTAGTGCTGACATACAGCTTAACCTGAAAGGTTAATTTATTTACAGATTATTTTACATTTTGTTCTACACCATTATGCATTAAATACTGATCCAGCAGAAAAAAGCATTTAAATCCTTGTGATCTGCACAGTTAAGTTTCACTGGAGAACTAATAGCAGCATGTACTTCTAACATCTTGCCAGTTTTCAATGCCTCTTGGGGTAAAACAAAACATAAAAAATATCCACTGCTATTTTGACTGGATTGCTTACTATGATAGGTGAATTCTGGTTTTCTCTAAATCTGTTTTTCTGGATCACACGTGAAAGCTTTTGTACATTTTGAGTAGACAGTGTGGCTAAGTGCTTTTAGGTATAAATTCTGTCTCTCATCTGAGCCCTTTATAATTCCTCCATGATGACAAAACCTCAGACACTAGGCTCCAAAATTACAACAGCACAGTATAAAAGAAACAGAATGGGGCATTTAGCCTCACAGACCAGAGCGAACATTCCCTCCAGCAAAGAAATCCTGTGCTGGACCCAAAGATACGGAGGTAGGTGATCTTATAGGTTTCTCTAACCTGTGAGGTAGGAAAACTACACTTAACACACTTTATTTATATTAGCTCATTTCTGGTTCTCATGCTTTTTGACCCATGGTCTTCACAAGTGAAAATTTCTGTCTTTCACTGTCCTTGGGATCTAAGTGGGAAAATGGAGGCCCAAGAAGAACAGGATAATGAATTTTCTTCTACCTTCTAAAACTCCTGGCATTGCCCTTCTAGTTAGTTTCCATAAGGATGCTGATGTAAACATCAAATAATTATTTTCTACACAGCTGAAAACTCAACAGTGTATAGTCATTCAACCTGGCAGGATCCAGTCATTTAGGAGTTACAGTATGACTGTCATCTGCTTTTACTGATAATTTCTATGGATTTTCAGTCTCCTGCTTTCATGTTTTTTCTTTGGTGAATAGAAGAACAAGATAGGTCTTCATCCTATTATTTAGCTATTCTCCCTAGTTAAAACAGTAGTTTTAACCAGTACTTGTTGATCAATGTGTAGTTCATAATATTGACTCTTGTGGCTGACAGAAGTCCCCAGTCTTCAACACTGAAGCAAACACACAAGCAGTTCAGCTGTAACTGCTTCCCCTGGGGCTGTTTTACCCCCACCATCTCCACACTTGGCTCTGCTTTGAGGAGTCTTCCCTCCCAGCCCATATAATTTACTTTCTCCCAGCAGCTCTTTAAAGCCTAGCTTAATAGACTGAGTACTGGGCTGGGAAATACAGCCTGCTAAACCCCTAGAACATTACCTGCAGCGATTGAGCAGTGCTCAGTTGCTGGTAGTTCTGGCAATACTGCTGTGCTAAACAGTGGGTAATGGAGCTTTTAAAGGCTTGCACACTTACTATAAGAATGGCTACAAAGCAGGCCAGCGTAGTGTTCCAGTCTCCACTAGCTGTGGCAGCTGCTTTTCCAACGAGCACACTGTAAAATATGAAGTCTCCAAGGCCCAGCTTCACACCCCCTGAAAGAAGAGGAAAAAGAAAACAAGTGTTACTTGTACTCCTCCTGTTCTGCTTCCTCCTAAACACATTCTTGCTCTCTGGAGATGAGGTGAAGGTTCCCACTTAAACTGTCAACATAGACAAGAGGTGTCACTGGAATGACAATTCCAGAACAGATACAGAGTCAGACCAAAGATCTTTGTTGCTCAACAAGTTGCAGCTCTTCAAATTAACTGCCATCAAGCCAAACTAGATAACGAAGTGTTATCCACAATCACTAAAAATGTCAGGCTCTGACTATGCTGAGAACAAGGTATGAAGCTTCCCTTACTTTCCTCCTCCTCGAGCTCCTCGAAAGAAGTGATGGAGCGGGTTGGAACAGGACTCCTTGTCTCCAATATGTGCGAATCTGCATGTGAAGGGCTCCTGTGGTTCCCTCTTCCATCCTCAGCTTAGTTCCACAAAAATAGGCCGAGAAGAGTAGACAAAGAAAACAAACAAGAGGTAGCTATATTTGTAACTTGTTTTAATGCCTGAAATCCACACTTCTGCAAAGCTTCTCTGGAAAGGATAAGCCCTTTGTTTCCTGGGAGGTGTAATTATCAAGACCAATTCAAGCAGACACATTCAGCGGCTTTGAGGAAAACAGGTCATTTACTTTTTTTAAACAGTTGGAAGGGTACATGCTCACAGCTTCTTTGGCAGCCACCCAGGAGTTCAGTGGCTTTAACAAGTGACTACAGCTGCAGTACTAAGCATTGCCCTGCACAGGCTACAATGACAAGTAAAACCAAGTAAACTTAGAATAAACTCCCACATTGTTATATTTTTTGAGTGGAGGTGCTCAAGCATTCCTTAACTGGTAGTATGACAAAAACAGATGACTGAGAAAACTGCCATTTATGATAAAAGTTCTGCCATGAATCACACTGACATTGGGGCTAGGTGTTCACATATAGTAAATGGACACATTTAATTGTTTGCAGAATTAATTTTTTGTGCCCAGTTAAACACATCTAGCAGAGCTCTTGAAGTAAACCAGTTCGTGATACAGTACTCTGACAGCTTCTGTTTTTCAGAAGTGTTTATATAAACTTTCCAGTCCACGTCAGTCGGACAGGATGCTGCCACTGCAGATGTGAGCAGACAGTGATCTGGGAGACACAGAGACATTGTGTGCCTCAGCATGTATTTTGCTCCTGTGCTCTGTCCTCAGTTTCAAAGCAGGGTTGTGTCCCTGTGGTTTGCTAGTATATTAGCTGCTTTATCCTGAAATAAGCAGCATGTTCAGTTATCAAGCCTTAGCATACATTTATTGCTTAACATAAAAACAAGTGTATTGGACACTTTTTGTTGTTGTTGTTAGTTTTTTGTTTGTTTTTTAAATAAAGGCAGCCTGAATACTGGAGCTTCCTTCTGGTTCTCTTTGCTGCCAGTCCAAACAGTATGTTTCAGCACATCACTGAGTTCTGCAACTAATGTAACAAGAAAAAAAACTGTATCCCTCAGGACTCACAGGCTTATATTTACTTGCAGTCTCAAACATGCACATTATTTCCATGGGATAGTGCTCTGTATAGAAGAGGGACATGCAAGCAAGCATGCATCCCATGTCTACTGACCTGGTTCACTTACTGCTGTGTCTGGCTTTGCCATTCCAACTGTCCACATCATAGCAGCTAAAAGGAAGAGAGAAAGATACCAAGTGCTTAAAACATAGCTTCTCTGAGCTACAGTAATCGAAGTATTTAGCTGTTTCTAAAAATACAAAGCCTTGCCTCTGTAAACGCTTTTATAACACTCACTCTGGTTGGTTTCCCTAAGCAAGATGGCAAAAAAAGGCAGTACATCTCAGAACATCAATATTTAAGAGTCAGTATAGTCATCTATATAGGCTGGAGAACACAAAAAATCCAGAACTAGGGTCCTCATCTCATCTGTTTTCTTCCTAGCTTCTGACTCTCCTTGCCAAATAAAACAATTGGTCAGGAAATGATAGCAGTACAAAAGGTAACCAGAGGTTAACTTACACAGCTTACTCCTCATGTTCTGCTAACAGTAAAACATACAAGTGAGGGACACATGGAAGTTGTCAGAATGCTAGTTTTCTCTGGTTCCTGTTTGTTTTGGTTCTTTCCTGTCAAAATATTGGCTATTTCTGTTTTGGTTTCAAGAACAACTGAAGGATATTTTCTGGGTTTATTGCTGAGATGAATCACTAAATTAAAAAGGAATACAAACCATTCAGACATGAGTGAAAGGGAACTCAAATCAGCTGTTTATTTAAATGTGTTTTTAAAGAAGCTAAACTAAACAAAAGAAGTCACAACAAAAACAGTGCCTGCTTTTCCACCATCAGCTCAGACAATTTCAACGGAGACACTGACGTTCTGCACAAGAATTTTTTGTTTGGTAATACTTGTTGAATTGCTTTCTCATTCCGATAAACTCGTTTGTTAACTAAAACGTGATAGTCTTAATCTAGATTGTCTCAGATCAGGGTAACAGAATATTTGGAAAAAGGCAGGTCAGCTAAAGCCAACAGAAGCTCTGCTTGGAACATATAAAAGCATTCATATAACATTAAATGCTTGGGAAATAAAAAAATAAATCAGTCAGGTTGAACACACCCTCAACTTAGCTCCTAACATTCAGAAATACCCATTTGTCTTATAAGCAATATAATGAAAAAGTTACTGAGGTCCATGAAACACCTGAGTACAGGTCCCATGAGTGTTGAGTTGTCTGCCTTCCAACTACCTTAAGCACTTACATGCCTCTGTGGATAAGGGCACCAGACAGCATCAGAGTCAAACAGATCAAGAAAGCCACAGAAGATATGACTGATTTTGTTTGCAGCACTATACTTGAATAGAGAGAGACCTTTGCAAAGTCAGCAGCCACACAATGAACAATAAAGGAAATATATTCTAAGCACTGTCATCCATGCAGTGCACAGAGCAAGAGGGAGCTACAGGAAGAATGGAACCTCATCACACAGTGTGTTTATAAAGTGTATGCAGAAGGATTAAGTGTATCTACCCCCCTCAGGTGGAAGAACAGCCCCTAGGGAGCGCCAGTGACCAGGAACGCAGCAAACAGAAGTAGGCAACCAGGAGCAGCAAACAGAGCGTGGCACAATAGAAGGGCCTGGCCTGGCAGTTCCCGCAGGCTGGGTGTGTGGAGCAGGGCACGGGCGCCCTCTTGGCTCAAGGTAAAAACTCGGCTAGTGATCATCCTCTCCCCGAAGAGGACCTAGCCATGTGTCTGTTGCCAGGACAGTGGCAACCCAGATGGAGGTCCCTCCCTCTCAAGAATGCAGCTGTCCAGGTCTCTGGCTGCACAGAATCTCAGCCTGTCAGTCGTATTGGAAGAGAGTAGAGGGAACACCTGCGTACGTGTGACCAGGTGAATGATTTACTCAGCCCAGTGGCTGAGCTGGGAGAGGAGGTGGAAAGATTACGGAGTATCTGGGATTGTGAAAGAGAAATAGATCGTTGGAGATTACTCTACCCTACCATTCTTGAAACAAACCTTTAAGGTGGAGGCTTCACAAGAAGTAGAGGATCCTCTGCCTTCCTGTCACCTGGCAGAGGTAGGGGACCTGAGAGAAGAGAGGAACTGGAAGCGGGTCCCTGCTCGAGGCAACAGGTGAACCCGCTCCCGGCTTCGCCCACCTTCACACATGCCCTTACAGAACAGGTACATGGGCCTGGATCAGAAAAATCAGGGAACTGACGTTACTGACAAAGGTCCGTTCAGGGAGCTGCAGAGGCAGTCTGCCCCATGCATTAGGACTGCTTCTGCTAAGAACAAAAGGTAACTGCTGTAGGAGATTCTCTTCTGAGGGGAACTGAGGGCCCTACACACCAGCCAGACCCAACCCTCAGGGAGTTCTGCTGCCTCCCTGGGGCCCAGGTTAGAGATGTTACTGAGAAACTCCCAGGTCTGGTGCAGCCCTCTGATCACTGCTGCTAGTGGTCATGCAGGTGGGCACTGATGAGGTTGCCAAGGCAAGTCCCAGGGTGATGAAAAGGGATTTCAGAGAACCAGGCCAAATGCTTGCTTTGCACAGGTGGTCTTTTCCTCAGTTCCTTCAGTAGCAGGAAAAGCTGAAAGGCCTAGGAAAACACAACTGATTAATGTAACTTGGGAGGGGGCTGTAGCTGGGTTTGAACTAGTGGGGCATTGTTCTAGTATTAATGAAGACCAGAAGGCCTCCCACCTCCCAAGGGTTCCACCAGTGTGCTCAGCTCACTCCCTGAAATGCCTGAACACCAATGCACGCAGCATGGGGAATAAACAGGAAGAGTTAGAAGTCTGTGTGTGGTCTAAAGGTTATGATATGGTGGCAAGTAGAGACACGGTGAGACAGCTCACATGACTGGAATGTGGTCATGGATGGCTATCTCCTTTTTAGGAAAGACAGGCCAGCAAAGCAAAGCGGTGGAGTTGCTCTTTATGTGAGGTCTGTCCAGGGGCCAATGAGGAGCACTGGGAAGTCTGTGGGTACAAATTAAAGGGCAGGCTGGCGTGGGTGATACAGTTGTGGGGGTCTATTACAGACCTCCTAATCAGGATGAAGGAGTTGATGAGGCCTTCTACAAGCAGCTGAAAGCAGCCTCACAACTACAGGCCTTAGTCTTCATGTGCGATTTTAACTACCCCAATATTTGCTGGAAGGCCTACACAGCCAGCCTTTCACAGTCTAGGAGGTTCCTCCAATGCATCAATGATAATTTCTTGACACAAATGGTGGACAAACCAACTAGGAGAGGAGCATTGCTTGGCTGCAGTGATCACGAGACAGTGGAGTTCAGGATCCTGTGTGGGAGGAACAGAATACCTAGCAGGACCAGAACCAGAACCCTGGACTTCTGCAGGGCCAACTTTGGCCTTTCAATCAATTATTAAGAGAAGTCCCATGGGACAGGATACTAGGTGGTAAAGGGGCTTAACATTCAAGGACCAGTTCTTGCAGGCTCAGGATCAAAGCATCCCAATGAGTAGGAAACCAAGTAAGAGAGCCAGAAGACCTGCATGGTTAAACAAGGAACTGCTGGGCAAACTCAAGTGGAAAAAGAGAATCTATAAATCATGGAAGGAGCGGCTGGCCACTTGGGAGGAATATAGGACTGTTGTCAGAGGATGCAGACAGGCAATTAGGAAAGTAAAGGCCTCCTTGGAACTAAATCTTGCTCATGAGGTTATACAATAAAAATGGCTTCTTCAAATACATTGCAGAAAAAACTAACACTAGAGGCAATATAGGCCCACTGCTGAATGAGGTGGGTGCCCTGGAGACAGAGGATATAAAGAAGGCAGAGGCACTGAATGCCTTCTTTGCCTCTGTCTTTACTGCTGCAGACTCTCCCCAGGAGCCCCAGATCTCTACAAACCCAGAAGTCAGGATGAAGGAAGGGTTTGCTTTGGTAGATGAGGATTGGGTTAGGGACCAGTTAAGCAGTCTGGACATCCATAAAATCATGGGTCTGGATGGAATGCACCCATGGGCGCTGAGGGAACTGGCAGAAGTCATTGCTAGGCCACTCTCCATCATCTTCAGTAAGTCATGGGCAACAGGAGAGGTGCCTGAGGACTGGAGGAAAGCAAATGTCACTCCAGTCTACAAGAAGGGCAAGAAGAAGGACCTGGGTAACTATAGACCAGTCAGCCTCACCTCCATCCCTGGAAAGGTGATGGAACAACTTGTTCTTGGCACTATCTCTAGGCATATCAAGGGTGAGGTAGTCATTAAGAGCAGTCAACGTGGTTTTACCAGGGGAAAGTCATGTTTGACCAACCTTATAGCCTTCTATGAGAAAGTAACTAGGTGGATAAATGATGGTAGGGCAGTAGATGTGGTTTATCTTGATTTCAGTGAAGCATCTGACACTGTCTCCCACAACATCCTCATAGACAAACTGAGGAAGCATGCTCTTGATAATTGGGTAGTGAGGTGGATCATGACTGGTTGAAAGGAAGAAGTCAGAGAGTTGTGGTCAATGGGACAGAATCTAGTTGGAGGTCAATGACTAACGGAGTCCCTCATTCTTCAAATACATTGCAGAAAAAACTAACACTAGAGGCAATATAGGCCCACTGCTGAATGAGGTGGGTGCCCTGGAGACAGAGGATATAAAGAAGGCAGAGGCACTGAATGCCTTCTTTGCCTCTGTCTTTACTGCTGCAGACTCTCCCCAGGAGCCCCAGATCTCTACAACCCCAGAAGTCAGGATGAAGGAAGGGTTTGCTTTGGTAGATGAGGATTGGGTTAGGGACCAGTTAAGCAGTCTGGACATCCATAAAATCATGGGTCTGGATGGAATGCACCCATGGGCGCTGAGGGAACTGGCAGAAGTCATTGCTAGGCCACTCTCCATCATCTTCAGTAAGTCATGGGCAACAGGAGAGGTGCCTGAGGACTGGAGGAAAGCAAATGTCACTCCAGTCTACAAGAAGGGCAAGAAGAAGGACCTGGGTAACTATAGACCAGTCAGCCTCACCTCCATCCCTGGAAAGGTGATGGAACAACTTGTTCTTGGCACTATCTCTAGGCATATCAAGGGTGAGGTAGTCATTAAGAGCAGTCAACGTGGTTTTACCAGGGGAAAGTCATGTTTGACCAACCTTATAGCCTTCTATGAGAAAGTAACTAGGTGGATAAATGATGGTAGGGCAGTAGATGTGGTTTATCTTGATTTCAGTGAAGCATCTGACACTGTCTCCCACAACATCCTCATAGACAAACTGAGGAAGCATGCTCTTGATAATTGGGTAGTGAGGTGGATCATGACTGGTTGAAAGGAAGAAGTCAGAGAGTTGTGGTCAATGGGACAGAATCTAGTTGGAGGTCAATGACTAACGGAGTCCCTCAGGGTCAGTACTGGGACTGGTGTTGTTCAATATTTTCATCAATGACCTGGATGAGGGAACAGAGTGTGCCCTCAGCAAGTTTGCTGATGATACTGAGAGGTGTGGCTGACACACCAGAAGGCTGCCATTCAGTGAGACCTGGACAGGCTGGAGAGTTGGGTGGGGAGAAACTTGATGAAATTCAACAAGGCCAATTGTAGAGTCTTGCATCTGGGGAATAACAACCCCATGTATCAGTACAGGTTGGGGGATAACCTGCTGGAGAGCAGTGCAGGTAAAAAGGGACCTGGGGGTCTTGGTGGACAGAAGGATGACCATGAGCCAGCAATGTGCCCTTGTAGCCAAAAAGGCCAATGGCATCCTGGGGTGCATTAGAAAGTGGGTGGTTAGTAGGTCAAGGGAGGTTCTCCTCCCTCTCTATTCTGCCTTGGTGAGGCCACATCTAGAATATTGTGTCCAGTTCTGGGCCCCTCAGTTCAAGAAGGACAGAGACCTGCTTTAAAGAGTCCAGCACAAAGTCATAAAAATGATTAAGGGAGTGGAACATCTCCCTGATGAGGAAAGGCTGAGGGAGCTGTGTCTCTTTAGCTTGGAGGAAACTGAGGGGTGACCTTGTCAATGTTTACAAATACGTTAAAGGCAAGTGTCTGGAGGATGGAGCCAGATTTTTTCAGTGATGTCTAGTGATAGGACAAGGAGCAATGGGTGCAAACTGGAGCACAGGAGGTTCCATGTAAACATCAGAAAAAACTTTGCTGTGAGAGTGACAGAGCACTGGAACAGGCTGCCCAGAGAGGTTATGGAGTCTCCTTCTCTGGAGATATTCAAACCTGCCTGGACATGTTCCTGTGTGATGTGCTCTGGGTGACCCTGCTCTGGCAGAGGGGTTTGACTGGATGATTTTTCAAGGTCCCTTCCAACCCCTACAATTCTGTGATTCTGTGATCATTTAATCAGAGAACTTTTCAAATGCTAATACATCTAATACAGGTTTGTGTAAGCAGAACAGAGGCATGTTCTGCACTGTATTAACAAAAGGATAAATCTACTTTTGAACATTGCAGCTTCATGAGGCAAATGTGAGTTCCTTTTGGCTAATGAGTTAGCACCATTTTAACTGATAAACAAGGCCTTCTGGAAATGGTCTGTACCAAAATATAAATATGCAACAATCTTAGGGTATGGAACCAACTAACATAGGCCTCTTTGGTTTGACAGAGAAATAGGTCGCAAGTTGAATGTGTTTAAAACCACAAACATTTTAATCTTACTCACAGGAATATATTAATGCAGGAAAAATGGGCTCATTTCTCTCCTGTGCAGTTTCTACCAGCATTCTCAGTGGCCCCTTTGGACAGAGAACAGCCATCAGATCTGCAAAGAAAAAAGGGCCAGACAACCTCATCTCAAACTATCATGCATATTTTACATTCTTTATCTTCAAAAAGCTATTCTTTCATCAAAATTTCATCTGTCAATATTAAGTGGATGATTTCCTGAATTGCAGATTCTGCCACTTTGCATAACTCTAGTTGTTCTAATCCCTGAAGATGACATTCACTTAAAATACCAACCTCGTGGCTTAATGTAATAATAGGAGTTTTCATGGTCTTTATTCTGTAAAAAGCCACATTCTTGCTGTGAAAGCAGATTAGTGCATCACATGCAGGTGTTTAATTAGAGGAAGACTGGGGGTACTTTGTTCATGTTCCACAATCCATCACTTACATTGATTTCTGTGTTTCACGTGAAGGCCGGCCCCTGGTCCCCTTCCTCTTCACCTAATCTCCCTTTCCTGTCAGAGCTCCACACCAACATGACTGTTACCTCTCAGCTACCTCTTGTTCTGCAGGTTCTCTTGAAACTTTTCACTCATACAAAAATTCATGATCTCTCAACAGCCTTAAATATAACATGCAAGACTGTCAGGTTGCTACAGATAAAAATCTAACCACCTGACCACACAGATACAGTTCAGTACTTCCCAGACTTAGTGTTCCAGTTTTAAAGACATGGTAGGAATACAGTACCTACATGAAGAAGTTAGAGTCAGGGAGTCAACTTAGTTGCCCTTCTGCATCTTTCTAAAGCTGTTATCACTGTAAAGTTGTCTTTTGAACAAAATATGCAGTCCTAAGACTGCCTCAGAGTAACCTTTCCACACCTTGAGAATCACAACCCAGACTTACCATAGATGGAGATTGCACCTAGAATCACCCACGCTGACCACTCAGGTAGATATTTAATGAAAACCAGTGCCATTAGAGCACTGATCATAATGAGATATGCTTGCTGGAGCTGCAAAGGACCTTTCCAGTGTATGCAAATCATTCCAACTGCTCCAAAATTCCAGATGATTAAGAACAGAGTTGGGTAATCCATGGCCACATTGTACGTCTTCAATACTTCACTGGAAGACAAGAAAATTCAGCTGGGCAATAAAATCAACTGGCATGCAAAGCATCCTACTATCTATAGTTAAATAAATAAGTCTACTACTACACCAGGAGCAAAGAGGATAGAAACAACTCTCATCATGAAAGGGAAACCTGCCTTGTGGCCAACTGCAGCTCTTAGCTCTCTGTTCCTCCTGCAGATGGAGTGTGCGCAGACATGCGCCACACTGCCTTAATCCTGAGGTCAACAAGGTTTGACCAGGCAGAATTTCAAGTCTTAACTGAACATAGACCTACAGCTATGTGACTCTAGGCAGTAAAGAAATAATGTCACCCCACCAAATGGACAATGCTCACAGTTAAAGATCAAAAGTTTTTTAAAGTGTCACCTACACTTTAAAAACTTGGGCCTACCCGAGTTGGGAGCTAAAAAAAGGAGCTTGAAACCACATAGTCTAAGGAAAAGGCAAGACAAATCAGAAAATCAACTCAGCACATTAAGTTCCTTTTCACTTGCTTCTCAACATGTAATCCAGGTCTTCTGTACTATGAGGTTCACTCTGTTCATGTCATGCTTACAGGATCATTTCCTAATGATTTCTGTAGAGTGGCACTGTAAAGTCAGGTATTGCCTATTAAAAAGCTAATATTCAATTTTTTAAAAAAGAACTCTAGCTCATTCCATTTGGAGAAGGGGAGACATTCCTCTCATTGTTCAAGACAGGGATTTTCTGCAGAGGTGAAGGTGCCCCGAACTGCCAGGTTACTTACACCATTCTCACTTACCCTAGATAAATGTAGGTAAAGAGGAAGAGCAGCATCAAAGATGACAGGATCAGCCAGCCATGGATGAACTGAGGGCAAGAAGAGATGGTGATTCAAAGAGCCATTACCCTTTGCACAGGCTGCAGTGCTCTGCATGCACTATTGATTGAGTTTCCTATAGTCCAACAGTTTCCTTCAGCACTGCTTCTCCAGTTCCCAAAGATCCTCCTTCCCCACCACCAGAGATGGAGGAGGGACAGCCAGTTGCTCCGAGTTCTCCCAAACTAGTTCATTTTGTATTCTATCCTTTAGTGTTTGTTCTTGTTGGTTTGGTTGGGTTTTTTTAGTCTCTTCCTATCCATTTCCATGGGTACCCATACTAGCTTAGACAGGTAATCACATTCTCTCTGCTCGGTGGGGAGGAGGAGGGGTTTGCTCAAGGCTACACAATCAATCCATCTCAGGGTCAAGTTTAAAAACCAGCAATGGCCAGTGCCTCTCCCTCCAAGCCTCATCACCTTCCACCAGAGCCTCCAGAGGCATGAAGCTTCTCTGAAACTTCCTAAGAAAAGGCATTTGCAGTAAATGCTACAACTTAGATCATAAGTACAAACCATAAAACTTCTTGATCAGACTACAACAAAGTAGTAGGCTTCATTTTTAGGAGTCTACCTTAGTAGTGTCCTGGTTTCAGCTGGATAAATTTTCTTCCTAGTAGCTGGTACAGTGCTGTGTTTTGCATTTAGTATGAGAACAATGTTGATAACATACTGATGTTTTAGTTGTTGCTAAGTAGTGCTTATGCTATGTCAAGGACATTTCAGCTTCCCATGCTCTGCCAGTGAGGAAGTACACAAGAAGCTGGGAGGGAGCATGGCCAGGACAGCTGACATCAACCGACCAAGGGGATATTCCATACCATATGACATCACGCTTAGCATATATAACTGGGGAAAGGAGGAAGAGGGGGACATTTGGAGCTATGGTGTTTTGTTTTCCCAAGTAACCATTTCATGTGATAGAGCCCTACTTTCCTGGAGATGGCTGAACACCTGCCTCCGAATGAATTCCTTGCTTCGCTTTGCTTGTGTGCACGGCTTTTGCTTTACCTATTAAACCATCTACATTTACCCATGAATTTTCTCACTTCACCCTTGCAGTTCTCTCCCCCATCCCAACAGGGGGGGAAATGAGCAAGCAGCTGTGTGGTGCTTAGCCGCTGGCTGGGGTTAAATCATGACAGTTCTAAAATAACAGCAAAGCGTATCTGGGGACACCGCTCTACCACTGCTGGGAAAGGCTTCTGTACAATGCGATCCTTGCTATGATCAAGATGTTGACTAGCCAGTGCAGTGCCTGTATTTCTCATTGATATGCAAGCCTCACTTGAACTCCAGTTCACAGCATATAGGTGCAAAAGGCTCTGGAGTGAACACTTTACCTTGTAGCAGCGATATTTGTAGAGCAGAACTAGGAACACAGTCATTACAACAATGACGCTGATCATTATAACAGTGTTCAACACTGAGTTCAAGAGACGCTGGCCCACAGATGGGGTATCCTCGCTGAAAGGGGTGTAGATCCTGCAATTTAAAGCAAAAAACATGTGAAGTACATATATTCTCTTCTAACTAACTGTCCCAAGATAAAACCAGATCCGTGTATATGGGAAGGAAAAGGAGATAAGACTGCCAGGGACAGCAACCATGAGGTGCATTCCCTAAAGGGCCTGGGCCCCAGTTGATAATTAACTAAAGATTAATTGTATTTATCAAAAGCACATTCCTACAGAGAAGCTGTGCCTGGCAGAGCTCTAAATGAAAAGACCTAGAGTATAAACGACTTTAAGTTTAGTAACTTATCTCAAGGCCACAAATTCTTACTGTATGCTCCTGACCCTCTCCAAGATAATTACAAGGATACATCCCAGGTACTGTCTGAAAGGGAAGAACCCTTTCTTTCTACACTTGGTAGCAAAGTCTTGGACTCTCTTACCCCTTTTCACCCTTAACAATCCCATTTTGTTTCCTTTGGCTTAGCTCAAGCAACCACAGTTCCCATTTCTCCACTCACCACGTGAAGTGCAGTTAAGAGTCTCAGGAGTGCTCTTGGGCACAGTCAACAAGAGCTGGATGGAATTACGTATGCACACCATGAGTCCTCAGGAATCAAAAATGAGACACTCATCCAAATGAACATGCTATTCCCTGATGGCTGCCAGCTAGTGGGTGAAAAGACTAGGAGTTCAGCCTGGACCTTTAATGCTGCAGTATAAAGCAACTTCATTGTTAGGCTGCTCACAGGCTTCACTTAGGGCACCCTAGTGACAGTGTTAATGAATCAGTATAACGCAGGTATGGACAAACTTACACAGGTGAGCACAGCATACCTCAGTAAGATCTCTGTATTTTTACACAGTCATCTTTAGCTATGTAAACGTTCTCCCTACCTGCCAAGGAAGCAGTCTGTGTACACAGACGTATGTGTGTGTAATGTACACGTAAAGCTAGGGATCCCACGTACTCAGAGGCTGGTTTGAAGACCCCACTTACAGCTGCCCGTTTTTCTCCGTATAGAAGCGCACTGACTTTATGGTGGCGACGACAACAATCATACAAAGGGTGACAGGCACAAAGAGCATGATTACATGCTTTGCTCCATATTTCAGAGTCAGTTCCTCCTCTTCATTTTCCAAGGTGCTTTCTCTCATTGGAACACCTGAACCAGACACATCTCCATCAGCAGCATTGTTAGGGCTATGGCTGCCACCTGTTCGCCTCTTCTGAAAAGAAAAATTAGTAAATACATTATGCTTTCTTTTCTTTGCTTTCAAAGCTGCATTCTACTGTATCTCAACTTGTTCCTAATAGGAAGGGTACCAACTGAACAATACAATTAACATTTCATTACAAACAGGCTGCAATGGAGTTTTTAAACCAAAACCACAAATGCCTAAGGGCTTCTTCATGACTAAATGTATAGATGGACACATGCATGTGAGGAGCAAGGTGAACAGAAATCAAACAGACAAAATGTCATATGAGGTGGCATAAGCTTGATCAGTTCCTCATCCCACAGCAATGCTGTGATTGGTTTATCCCACTGCTTTGCTGGCAGCAGGACTAGATTCTGCTCTAACATTTGCTGCATTTGACTAGAGCAAATAAAGGCTTTCTGGCAAAACAAGAAGACTGAAAAGGATATCCTACAAGAGTCATACATGCATCAGGTCCTGATTAAAAGCCTTTATCTTTATTAAAAGGAAAGAAAAGGAAGGAGTATAAATGGAGATAAAAAGGGGGGAAAGTCACAGTGGAAGAAACAGGAACAAGCACTGCTGCTGGCCTCGAGAGTGACACCAGTGAAACAGCACTGGCCAAAGTCAACCCTCAAAGCCAGTCTGCTGGGAGGGATCTGTCATCATACCCCACTTCTTTACTCCCCAGTAAGGATGCATACCTACCCTATGTACCTGGGATTCCCCAGCTCCTGAGGCTTGCAGGCCATCCTGGTAGGAGGGTATTGGAGGGCTCTCTGCAGACATCAGGGATGTTCTCTCATTGCAGGGCTCCTCCTCACTGTCAGAGTTAGTCATGAATGTGATCATTATCGTTTTCCCAGGAAGCACTCAGGAGAAGCACAGCCAAGCACTACTCAAGGCTGAGGGGATAAGCACAAGGAATGACAAACTGTGAACACCGCAGTGCAAACAACTGGAAGTCTGAAGAGGAGACAATTTCAGCCTGCAGGCTACAACACAGTATATAACTCCATCTCCTTCGTAACAGCTGATTTAGCCTGCTGTCACCTGACATGAGAATTCATTCAATTAAAGTCACAGTGACTTTTGCAGTCAGGGAAAACAGCAAAATTTAATACTTCTTTGCCATGGCATTCACAGTTGCTGCCTCCATTTTCCCCTCTCCCATTAGAGCACCTTCACAAAGGAGGTTTCTCACTGCTTACTGCTTGCTTTGTGTGGGCCAAAGCTTCACCTCAAATGCTGGCTGCCTACTAGAAAGCTTAAGACTTCTGTTCTTTTACAACACTCCTGCAAACACCAGGTAGCAGTTTATTTGTAAGCTGGAGCCTTGGCTTTACATAAGCCACTAACCAGGAGTTACACACTACCTTCCATCTTACAACTGTTTATTAACCAGATGAATGTCTTAAGCAGTTCTCTCTGCCCATAGACAAGGAGAAGTTGGTATAGAAAGGGAAAGATCTGTCTCCTTTGCTGAGCAACTTTTTTTTTTTTTCCTCCCTATGTTGTCTCCCGATTGAAAGCAAAACTACTTGGGATGGGTAACGACTTGGAGTATAAAAGTGGGGGCTAGAAACATTTGGCCTTTTTCCACCTCCTGCTGTGCAGAAAAACAAGGAAAGCAGTGGCACAGCACAGAGAGGAAAGCAACAGTTCTTCTTTCTAGACACCAGAGAGAAGAGGTGCACTGCCTTGGATACTGCAAAACAGCCTTAAAGCCAGGATTTCAGAACCTCTAATGCCAAGTGATAGTAAAATTCCTTTTAGACTTTATTACATCATATTAACAAAATAACTGAAGTAAACAGGGATAATTCAGTCACCTTTTGATTCTCAGCCACCTGTTCAAAAGCAAAACCAGACCGACCTCTAATGCACTGTAAAGTTGTAATGTCTACAAGAGCACTTCCTCTCCTATACAGTATTTTAGCCAAATATCTTGCAAGCAAAAGCTTGCCTCAGGACATCCAATTCAGAAGAGGAAGCTGAAGAAGCCATGTGACTTGGAAACAGTCACTGAGACATGACTTGTACATCCACAGTCCAACCAGTGCACTATGCTGCCTACCAGCCAGCTTGAGAGGTCAGATACTTTGAAGATCTGCAAGATATTCTTGCTTTTTGCTAAATAAACTGAAATGCACTTTGGAGGAAGAAAAAAGGGAGAAGTGGGAAAAAAACCCTTTATTTCACAACACATCTGGAACCATCAAGAAATTTTAGAATGTCAACTCAGTCTGCTCAAGTGAAACATTTTTCAGATATCTGCTTCTCCCCTGCCTTCTCTTCAATCTTTTTATTATTTTTTCCTTTTTTAGTGATAAAAGAGTTACAGTTACAGGAAACAAAGGAGTAGTCCTCAAGCCAGGCTAGTCACCTTCATAGAAGTACTGTGTTCTTACTGAGTGTGACACATAACACCTGCATTTTTGTGGTTATTTCTTATAGACCTCGAAATCTCCCCTCTGGGTGCTTAACATGTTCTCCCCACATAATACACGAGGCTCCTCATTTATAGTTGAGAGCTGAGATTCTGGTTCAGTTAGAGAATTTAGGCCTTCTTTAAACAAGTTGGGTACACGAAGTCATCCCATCATGACATTTTCTGGATATGTGAACAGGTGAAGTTATGCATGCCATGGGATTTGTGACCCACAGAATTTACGCAACTCAAAACCTTTTACACATGTCAGAGAACAGGGAGGAAATAAAGATCTACTATCCAATAGTTTGGAACCAATATTAGTTTTTAACAACCCAACAAAAATATTAAAGAACTTTTCCCCCCAGTATTTAAGAAACTGCAACACAATTTTTGCTATATGAACAGTGCGATTCTGCAGAGGATTTAGAAGGGACAGCAAAATAGCCTTCTTCCAACTAGCCTAGTTTCAGTTGTGCCCACTGGAGGCACCTACCAATAGCGAAAACACAGTAATAATTACTAAGCTCCACAATTACATGGAAAAAGAACCTTATATTGTAAGACAGCTTTTTTAAAGCAGAACATTTTCTGTTATTCTTCCTCAACAAGGCTATGAACAAGTGCAAAGATCACAGAATTTTAGGGATTGGTTGGAAGGGACCTCCAAAGATCGAGTTCAATCCCCCTGCCAGAAGCAGGACCAAAAAAAAACTAGGGCAGATCACTCAGAAAGGCATCCAGACAGGTCTTGAAAGTCTCCAGAGAAGGAGACTCCACAACCTCTCTGGTGAGCCTGTCCCAGTCTCTGTAACCCTCACAGTAAAGGAGTTCTTCCTCATGTTGAGGTGGAACTTCCTGTGCTCAAGTTTTAATCCATTGCCCCTCGTCCTATCACAGGGCACAAGTGAAAAGGGGTTGTCCCTGCCTTCTTGATGCCCAGCCCTCATGTATTTATAGACATTAATTAGATCCCCCCTCAGTCTTCTCCTCTCTAGACTGAAAAGTCTCTAAGCCTCTCCTCGTAAAGCAGGTGTTTCAGTCCCTTAATCATCCTTGTAGTCCTCTGTTGGACTCTCATGCAACAATACTTCTGGTCAGTGGGTAGACTCAGACCTCAACACAGCTTTAATGTCACTTGTTTACAAGGCTTTGATTTCCCTGAAGGCTGACACAAAAAGACCCCAACATAGCTGGGATCTGAAAGGAGTTCAATCCTTAGACACTGTATTCACAGCTGCCTTACATTGACCTAAATATTCTGTCCTGCCAAAGGGATTGTCTCAGCTCTCTCAGGTGCCAACACTGCATGCTCATCAGCTGTCTAGCTCTTTTGAAAAGACAATGGGCAATTGTTTTCCTTCACTTCCGCAGAGCCAGGCTCCAGCAGGACAGGCTCCCAGGCTGACTATGCAAGCCACCCCAGTGCCAGTGTCAGTAGGAGAAAAAAGGAGCACTGAGCCATCCCCTTTCCAGTAGGGTCAAGCCTTACAGTGGCAAGCTCTCTGCTCTTCATCTCAGGTCCGCCACACTTATGGCAGTGTGGCTCTTAGCTAAGCCAAGGGATCTTTGATATACATTTTGCAGAGGTAGGAACATCAGCCTTCCCCCTCTGCCCCACCATCTAATGCTCCACTTTGAACTGGCACCAAGGCCATGCTGGCTGCTGGAGAAAGAGAGATTTGGTTTAAGCAGTCTGTCCCTTAAGGGGAGGAAGGACCAGCCTGGTCACTCACACACACACCCAGCACAACAGCAGCATTTAGGCTGAACAGAGGGAAAGCAGAGAAAGGCTCTGCCCTAGGGGCTTGCTTTCCAAACAGAAAGGGAGCCACAGAGCACCAGGCAACCAAGAAAGGGGCAGAATAAGCCACACTGTTTTCTGACATTGTTTCACCAGCTAAACTAAGGTAAGGAGCCTTGTGGACGTAATTTCTGCTTCCCAGGGACACTGGATAACCCCATATGAATTACATCAAATACATCAGGGCACACCAACTATGTTTTCTTAGGCTGAGCTTAAAAGGGGAAAGAACAGTTCAGAAAAGGAAAGCATGGAGGACTGAGGCAAGCACAATACCTATCTGGCTATAGGAACAAGAGGAGCTTTGGAATGGAGAGGGATGCAGGCTGTATCTACATTCACAGAAAGCTATAGAACATGTTCTATCAAATACAGTAAATAAAGCCAGACCATTGTCAAACTGACCTAGGAGGTTGCAGGGTATCAGGCAATGTTTCCTCTGTGAAGGGATTCAAATCATTAGTTCCTGTTCAAAAAAATCACACAATGTTTAAAAGCCAAAAGACCAAACTCTCAAAACTGTGTAACAAAAATTAAAGGGGACAAAAACTAGGTCAGTATTAAGTACATGTTATAACGGAGCAGCTGAGGTGGGAATTCAATCACTCCTGCTTTGCAGCAGTCTTATGAAGTCTGCAGAAGAGCAGAGTCAACATTTCTCTCTTTCCAGATGTCCTTCGTGCAAGGCACCTTTCCTCAACTGCAAAAAATCAGGTGTATAGATTTTGACGAAACTGGAATAATACGCACTAACATCAGAGTCTAGCCTCAGTTTGCCTTTTAATTTCATGCTGCATCATCAGTGTGCTGCAAACAAACCTAAATCCTCTGGTTTGTATTTCATCTATCACAAACAACACCCATAAAACTTACATCACAGAACAGCTGGTACAGACTGGCAGAATACTTAATAATCCACCTGAAGAGTTTAAATTCCTGCTTATATACATTGTTCTCTTTAAGAGAAATAGTCTTCCTTTGCTATATTTAGACCAAGAGATAGCTTTATGCTGATATTGACAGCCTCATGTTCTCCTATGTTTCAGTGCTGTCACTAAACACAAAGTAAACACAAGGAAAAGACACTAAGAAATTCTAATTAATAGGGCCAAAAAGACTACCAGCTTCTTGCAAATAAAGCCAAAATGTGCATGCTGATAAGCAACAGGAGACTTAGAACACACTTCAATGTTCAAAAGCGAACTTGCAAATGATATTCACTTTCAGCCTTAAAATGCAAAAAAAGCAAAACCAAAACAACAAAGAAAGCACCAGATGCTATGGGAAGTTGTAGTGATCTGTAGCCCTCTTTCTCTGTTTTAGGGCATGTCAACACAGCTGAACCAGCTTTGCTTTCTTTTGCTCCACAAGAAAGGAACCCCACATATGCCCAAAGGGTTTTTTTGCTGGCAGAGCTGAAATTAGACCTTCCCCAAGAAGGACCCACAGCCCTGCAGACCCATTTAAACCAGTAAAACCTCAAAGCCTGTGTCAGACTTCACATGTTGGCCCTCCTCCATCTGAGGGCACCTGAGCCAGCAGGCATTGGAGGTGACATATGGGGGACACCCAAAGACACTTGTGTCAGGGCTGGGCTCCCACCTCCAAACCCAGGTCCCGGGCTACTGGGGACAGCCACGGACGGGTATGCAGAGCCCTGGGTGCCCCTGCTG